ACTATCAAGCCATGAGACAAAAACTGACATTCTGAGAGTGACCGTTTACGGATAGTGATTAGAGAAGTGCGATGCACGTGGCACGTACAATGAAAAGAAACAATTGTTCCGATGCACTTCCGGAAATGAGTGAAACATCGAGATGAGTTATCGACAAAAGTGGAGCTTTAAAAAAATGAAAACAATCAGAAAGCTTGATCACCTACCAGTCAACGTAGTTAACGCATCGACCGTTTCCACAACATCAGTTTCCGATCGAGACACATTAGGGATTGATTTCTGTGATGCTTGATCATCTCTGGACGTGTCCGACCCCAGTTTGGCAGAGGTTAAAGTGTCCTGAGCTATTGTGACAAACAGCTCACCGGTTACTGTGAGAAGGGCGTCAGTCAATGTGCGAGTGATGAACCGTGCCTATTGTCGAATGAATTTAGGAACGAACGGGTAAAAGAGAAGGATGGTTAATTGAATGTGCTGTCATTAGAATGGTATATGCATAGCTCAGCTGGCAAAACAGAGTGATACAGACAAGACGCATCTTTATATCATTCTTATAGTACCCTAACTTGGGGACTTCGGTCTGGAAAAGATTATTTTTGCTTGTACGTGAAAGACACATTCGCTTTACAAAGGAATAAGCATTGTTTTAGATTGTTTCAGATTCCGATCGTTGCCGTTCCGGTAAGCTTGGTAACAGCACGGTTGTACTGATCAGAAGTGAAAAAGGCATTCAACCCTTCGATTAACTAAATCTACAGTGTACGGTTCGGCAGACAAGAGAGCCACACAATTTTAGTGCACGGCCCAAGACAAGTGAGTCAAGTGGGATAAGATGGAAATTCAGCAATCCGAGTTAAAGCTTCAGTGTATGAACAACGTCGTTTGTTACGTCCCGGTGAGCATGGCTCACGAACGAACAAAATACACTCGCAGATTTTAGAAATGAAAAACATGAATCTAACCAAGAATAATTATAAAACTGAAATGTCATAACCCATCAGTATCATTTAACGTGCATCAATTCAAATCGCCTATGGCAATATTCGTTTGTCCGCTAAATCGCAACTGTCTGGTTTTGTTGATTAGGTTTGTTCTGCCCCATGGCCCCGAGTGGTGGCTACGTTGCATAGATAATGTCAGCTGCGGACAAAAGAATTCTCTTGGGCTACTATATTCAACGAAGTGAGGAAGTTCTAAAGTATACAGGAACAAATGTAGGTAGTGCGTGACGTGGTTAAACGTATGAGTCCCAGTGACAAGATTGAATCGCGTAGATCGAGTAAAATGACAAGTTGGTTACAACTAAACTCTCCGGATTGATTAGTTGCCGTGAACAGTGAAGTTCTCATGAGTATTAGCGTTCTACCCTTACCGTGTTCTTTGTAATCGTGTGTTGTGTTTCCGAACAGGATGCATTAAGGAGTAACAGCCAATACCGAGTCATCTCTGAAGTTAGTTGATGGTACTGTAAGCTAAATTGCAACATTTTTTCCTTGAAGACTAAAACATCGGAAGAGCATAAGCCTATTGAGAACTGGTGGGTCAAGTGCTCCAAGACGACGGATTGATAAACCCACTCTTGTTTCACGTCTAGCGTTGTAACGATCTTTATTTGGGAAATAAAAAATCTTTTGTCAAGACGGTTCACAATAGAAGGGCGGCAATCGGCACAGTTTAACGGTTTCATATCGCTATTGGCGCTGGGTTCTAGATGAGACCGGTATTGGGGTAGATAACTGCGTTGGATTTGGGGTCACATTAGTCGTATTAAGCTCAACACCTAAGCAGAAAAAGGAATGGGTCTAAGTTACCCAGATTGCGCCACGGGACTGAGTGTTCTAATTGTGCACAAGAAAAACAAAATAAGACAACCTGATAAGCTCTAATGGATGAAACGATCACGCACAATCCACGTCTCCTTTCCTCTAACAACAAAACAAGGAACACAGAGCACAACGCTTACCGTTTCACTCTGCTGATCTTCCTCCGTGAGTGCAGCGAACCTCTCCCGAAACTCCTGTTGCGAATGGATCACGGGCGCTTCGATCAGAGCCTGAGAAAAACACCCAGTCGATGAAGATCATAACAGCGCAGCAAACGCGCGAACACGTGATACGGGGATGGGGGGTATCCACATTCAGTAAGCAGATGCGCACACAAGTGTGAAGGGTACTCGTACAGACAAATAAGGATTGGACCCACATAGACCAAGGTGGGGTTATCGGATAAGACCAAGCAAAAGATCAGAACACTTAAGTAAGTCTCCAGAAAAGCACATAAGGTCTTGTTCAGAACAAAACAGTCGCACTGTATCGTTTCCCACGTGTTCTGTATTAAGTTGTACGCATAGGAGAACAGCCTGAGTGGATCGTTGGGGCCCACCTGACCTTTTTGTCTGACGAAAAAAACAAAGTTTACCAATGTGGTCCGGTAGAAACTGAGTAGTGATCTGAGCGAAAAACGAAGTTCACGTTTTAAAAAGTAGTCGCGATGAATGACCGGACAAAATGAATGCGTCAAAGAGCGCAGTACTAGTGGTGGACGGGATGACATGACTAGAGTACCGCTTACCGATTGAGTGGTTGTTGCAAAACTACGCAGCAAGCTAGTTTGGCTTAGTCGACTTAGAGCCGATTTATTGGCGGACTGTGGCATGTCCGTGGTAGCTGGATTAGCAATAGATTTCAACCTAACAGTAGCCGGATCAAGCGAAACCGGAAGCGTATTGTCTGAGGCAGTCATCATCTGATCATTGACGGTTTGTAACTGCTGACCGGTTCCTTCAACCAGTGGGCTAGACAGACCGGTCGAGACCAAGGAATTTCGGTTACCCGAATCGATCGGTTCCTCTTCTTCTTCCCCGGAGGAGCTTCCTGGGAGTAGTGCCTGGAGGCCAGAGGCTTTCACACTGGGTGTATCTTCGTTATCGACTTCTTCCCGAACATCCTCCTCGTCATCATCGTGTTCCATCACAATATCACCCTCAGCGTCCCGTGGAGCATCCGGAGCAGCACCCAGAGCTAGCAATGTGAACAGCATTAAGATATCGGTTTTACCGAATAGAATAATTGAATAGCACAAAGATATTATGGTCGGAAATGATTATCATCTGCCAGCAGAAAAATTATGAGGTTAAGTTCACTGGATCAAAAGCCAATGCAAAGAATATATATACTTACATATACCGTTCTTGGAACAGTGTACAATAACGCCAAAACCAGCGTTTCTATTGTTTTACAAGTCTAAGACTGAACTTCCAGTTGATCGGTCGGAATGGGACGATCTCCGGACAAAAAGATAGAATTGAAGACAATCGGTAAAGGGCCTTGAGCTTTAACGGTAAGGTGTTCTGTGATGTATTTGCCGAGTTTGTGGACAGCGATGAGGGGTTGGAGGAATGAAGATCTATGAAGACTGCAGTGGTTTAGCCGCTGTCACCGGCGTGCTTTGGATTCTATGGTCTGAGGTTCGAGCCCCGCCACCGCCATCTATCTTTGGTGGTAGGCAGCTTTGCTGTCATCCGGTTCAATACTACGCCTAACCTATCGAGGCATTATGTGGCCCGCCCCGTCTGCTGTTCACCACACAAATGTGTGCAATAAAAAAGAATATATACACAGCACTGAGATCCAGTTAAACACAACTGCGTGTAAAGAACCCTCTCCCAAAGGATCTTCGTTCTAAGGCTAAACCATCAACCGATTAATAAAGATTTTACATCTTAAAAAAATGTACCGGGTACATAATTTCGGGATTATACACATCACATAACGCAAAATTGCAATTCCGATCGGGTAAATTAAACTACATGTAATAGTTGAAGGAAAAGCAAAGTTACCGAGGTGTCGATGGAACTAACCACGGAATCCCAAACTGGTGCAAAACATAACTTACTTGTGTCTCCTGTTACTGCAGCCATTTCTTTTGCCTTCTTTTTTTCGAGTTTTTCCAACTCATCTCGTAACCAGGCCGGAAGAGCGCGCTTCTTGGCTAACTGTCCACTCTCGCTCTGATCAGCTTCAAATCCCTTGGGAGGCCAAGCACCGGTGCTAACCGCGGCCTCTTCTACAAAATTCGTGAAAGGAATAAGTCACACAATCGGTGAGTATTCTGGAATATACGTGAAACAATTACACACACACATTACATGACAAGGAACTGAGAAATTCAGCAACATACCGAATGCGGGTATCAAATGATCTGGTACAGGTAAATGTGTTGGATTTCTACCCATACCAGAGACCGGATGATGGCTGGAAGCGGATGGGCCCATAAGCATTCCTGATTCGGTAGCAGCCAAAGCCGATGGAAACAGACCACCTTGATCGATATTGACGGATGTGTGAAAAGTGGTGGCAGGATCTTGTCGAAAGTCAACGTCTCGCATGCCCACGATTGCCGAAGGTTCATCAGAAGGCCCGATTTCCGATAGAACAGGTGGTCCATGTGGATCACTGTGACGGTAATCGTAATCGTGACGCTCATCGCGATGTGGATCAATAGGTTCTATGGGTGATCCAGTGTGTCTTGATCCATCATACGGTCGCGGATGGTATACCTGCGAACGGAGACATGATAGACAAAGAGTGCCGATACGTGATGTGGAAGTTTAGAAGTATTGACGCTTGGGATGAGTAAGATTTGGAAAAAAAACATTAGGAAACTGGATTACTGGATTTGTCACACGTCTGGTGTTCCGGTGATCCACGTTGATATCAACATCACTATGGTTCCGTAAATGGAAACTCTGTCAAAGCTACTTCTCAACTCGTGAGAGAAAGGAATTTTACTGCTACTTGCATTGGGATTGTTTTTTTTAAAATTCCAATTCGTGACATAATACAGCAGGAATAAGGACCATGGATGATGGGAACTGGGCCGTACTCACGACAACCATATTAGGTACCAACGGGATAAGCGTAGCCTGCACACAATGGGATTGTAACATTCAGTGTTTTTATTAGCTGATGTGTTACAGACAGTAAATTGAATCATTAGCTCAAGAAGATCCTAAGTGGAATGTAGCTTGAACTACCTTCAAGGTAAGTCCTATCTTCCTGTTGAATTCCAAACAGCTAGCTTCTGTAGGTAAGTTGGAAAACCCCGATGTCAAATCTTTAGAGAATAATTATACGAACCGGGTCTCGGACGTCCTGGCTACAATGCTCGATTGGGTGCACTCGGTATCCCGAACGCATGGACCGTATCAAAAGAGATAAGATTCCGTCGATTGAACACTGGTCCCCAATGGACTGCCATCTTCACGTATTGCCTTTGAAAACTGAAGGCTTTGGTCGTGAGTTATTCGGGAAATCACTTCTGATTTGGCATTCTAGGAGTGGCGTCCATCAAAAGAATTATGAATTAGCTTACGCATGATAAACCTGCTCGTACACAATCTGGACCTAATTCTACCCATAAATACTGAACATTATTTTTGACCAATCGTCGCAAAAATTTGCGGTTCGAGCAATATTAGCATAAGAATGAAGTGTTACATTGTTCTTCACTGCATTATGGACAAACGACAAAAGCACGTGTTAACTAGTGTGCCGTTATTAGATCATAACTTTGCACTGGCATGACCTTACATTCAGCCCTAGGTTGCACTGTTTTCCCAAGTATTAAATCCACACAGCTAATGCATCATCTAAATTTGATCAGCACATACAAAAGGAACCGCATTCTAGTGAGATTTAACTCAACAGATTGACCTTAGTTTGACTTAAAATACACTGATAAATAAAGTCAAAAGGGAAATTGGACTACTTCGTCCTACACGGTGCTGTGGAATTGAATGGATAGGAGAGTGAGGGGATTAAGCTAAGACGAAACTGAAAAGAAACGACAATGTCCCACATAGAAATCTATCAAGTCCTTTTAGCGATGAACACAAACCGATCAGACTGATATCATCTACCAATGGCGGATATTCATTCAAGATTGTCTTTGTCCTTGGTCAACACCGGCGGACACGAAACACGCTGTTAAGAGCCTGATTCTGTCTAAGTCTGATAAACAACCGATACCTACAACACAAAGTAAACTGCAACTGCAGATCGGTGTTTTAAGTGGTCTCTCGTTGCTTCAGTTGAACTATTAACCGAAGGACTCAATCTATTCAGCGAATACCGCACAGTAGATGCAGAGGACGAAATCTGATTGCTTTAAAGGGAAACAGACAATGGAACAGTGAGATAAAATGAACTGACAAACGAATAAAAACGATGCTTTACTGGTTTTTAAATAAAAACTAAGGGCTCACCGAAATAGAAGGTCGGCCCCGAAAATGACCGGGGTGTATTGGTCTTGGTGGAGGAAACCGGTTCGGTGGATGGGACGGCCGATTGTAGTCATGTGAAGGGAAAGGCAGAAGATGGTTTCTTCGGTTATCACCTCTGTAATGTACAAAATCTAGGTGACTATCTGAATGTGGTGGCAATCTGTAGCATTCAGTCGCGGGATCTCGCCCGTACGGATTGAAATTTTGGTTATATTCGTATGAATAGCTAGCATCCGGTTGATCCAAAGAATTATCATGAACATCGTGCCATCGATCTTGGGGTGGTGGTGGTGGTAACTCTCTTCGGTAGTCGGAGTCATTTATTCCCTCCTGGATGTGCGGACCAGGAGCTTCTGCATACGAATCTCCTTGCGGTACAAATTCTGCATAATGCTCATAACCAGGGGGACATTGGTTGAATGTATGCTCCGCAGGTGTGGCGTAGCTGACCTCTTCAAACTGACCCACAGATCTGCCATCATTAGCGGGCATGTACTGTGTACAAGATGAACCATTATGTGGCGCACCCCAACGTCCATGCTCATTGTACTGATTATTGAAAGGAACTTCGTGACTAAGTGACCAAGAACCAGGTGGAACTTCCTCGTGGTTGTTAGATGTAGGAGCCAAAGGAGGAGGTGGTGGTTGGTTCGATGAGGCAGGTGGTGGCGGAGGAGGAGGAGGTGGTGGTGGTGGCGGCGGCGGCGGAGGTGGTGGTGGTGGTGGAGGGGGTGGTGGAACAGAGGCCGTTTCAGTATAATACGGATATGTGCTCATATTTCCAACTTCCGTACCCCTCTGACTAGCCCATTGCTTTGCCAATTCCGCCCAACCACTTGCGTTGTCAGTCGCGTCTGGCTGGGGAACTCTGGGACCGTGGATGAGAGTTTCAGTCCACGATTGGGGAGTAAATCCAGGCCACATGATAATGAACCTGAAACACAAGATAATCAAAACTGGCATATCAAGCAATAAAACATTTGAAAAAGATGTATAGTAGCAATTGGAAAAATATTTCAATGATCAACTTTGTTTATATATATATATACTCCATCCCGCCGAACAGCGTGGTGATGCGGATTTTCGATCTAGACGTGATAAAAATCACGTCAGTGATTTCTCCTTTGAGCTCGTTATCGGTGAACATCGTAAGCCTCTTTCCATGGGAATATATGCATCTCGTTTGTCCGGGATTTCATGTGCCATGAGCTTGTGATGAAGCGGACTCATCGAGAATAATAAAAAAGCGATTGCTAACCAACTACGATGGGTCTCGGAGAGAATGGAGTTTATTGGATGCTGTTTGTGTGCGACCTTTCATGCAACTTTGACTGGCGGAAGGTTTCACAGTTTCGTTAATTTTCATTGGGCATTGGTTCGGTGGAGCTGAGGGGTACATTGGACAGTTGTGAATATGACAATTTCTTACATTTCTTGCTGAGGTTGTGGGCTGAACTAGCCCATGTAGTGTTGAGGTTGCCCTGGAGAGGCTTCGAGTTTGGTGAGGTCCGCTGTCACACCTTCGAGTATCTTTTAGCAGATGATCGGTTTTGGGCAGTAACACCATAAGATGCTTGTCCATCATATCGGCATATGCACCA